GAACAAATATCAGAGAGTATATTATAATAATAAATATCAGATTTAGATCCATTTCTATTCAATTGTCAATCATATTCAAAGACAAAAGGGTTTAGGATTTGTGTGCAATTAACAAGGAATGCACAAAACGTACAAGATATTAAAATCATATATTGAAAATTGATGGTCTGAATTTATAATTAGAGTAGGATTCTGCTGATGTTATATAAAGCAAAAGAGATGTATTTTTATTTTTATGCAGAAATGTGCTAATTTGTTATCTATGCTTTAATAGGCTTTTTGTACTGCTTTGGGGATGATTTTTGTTTTCTTCATTTCCCGTCAAATGCTGCCTCTGTTTTCCCTCATAACCGTTACTGCTGGTACATCTTGTACATTGTATAAACTTGTTTGAGTTGATGGAGTGGAAATGTTCATAATCTTTGTAAAATCTGTTAAAAAGTGATTGTTGCTTATAAATCTTCTAATATTGCTATAGTTCTGAACAAAACCAAATGCACTTGTTATTACTGTAGGAACTTAAGATGGTAATAGTATAAATAGCTGTGAACATGATATTTTATGCATTGTATGATTGATGGGAAGAAGTTTTGGTCCTTCAATAGTTGTATTGTTTCACACAAAGATCTGAATGTCATCAAATTCACAAGCACTTTGTTTTCTGGGTTTTGACTCCAAAAGCAGCACCGTAATGGGTGTTATGAAATGGTTCCAAGAAAGTAGCCAGTGTGAAGCATCAAAATGGATCACGTGTGCATGCATTAACCTTTTACCATATGCACGCGGAGTGCATTTGGTGATAACAACCATCAATTTCGTGACTTTATACTCGTATTGTAGACACATCTTATGAAACAAATAATGCATGTTTTTAGCTCGTGCATTGTGAAATGCACTTGGTTAAGTCACAATTAGACGGACAATGAACTCCGTAAGTCTCGTTCATTATCCTACAGTGACTTATCAAGGGGCACCGGTGCATTGACTTGGTTTCGAACCCGGGTCACAGGATTACGAGACCGCTGCTCTACCAACTGAGCTATCGCGCCTCTTTTGAGACTTTAGGGCCTGAATTCACAAAGGAGGTTTGTCGACAAACCTTGGTTTTCGTACGTCATATGACGCGTTTTACGCGTTTTTTACAAACCTGGTTTGTAAAGAACAAAACGAGGTTTGGCGAAACAAAAGGAGGTTTGAGCTCAAACCTTGCTTTGTGAATTCGGGCCAAGGTGTTTCTTTCCAACAGTTTTTGCACATGCTAGTACATCAATTTTTAGTCTCAACTTTCCAATAAGAAGATACAAAAGGATTTTGCTGTTAACCATTTAAAAAAAATAGATTTTGAATTATTTTCTGGCCTATGTATTGCTGATATATATGGCCACTGAAATTACATGATGAGCATTCTACATGTATTGCTTTTGCTAATATGTGTAGCTCATGTATACGGTCCTCTTTAAGTTAAAAAAAAAAAGGCTTATGCAAGCAAGTCGATGTATATCTTTGTATCTTTTTAAAGTTTGTGAAAGTTTCAAGATGGCCGACTCAAAGTATAGTATAGTAGGAGAGAGGAAGCAAGAAAAGGCTGAATGATGCATGCAATAAACTTTTTAGTTCACAGAGCCTAATGGTACTTTGCTTTTTAACATATTAAAAGTGCATTTTTATTGGAAATTAGATTGCATGCAAAGGTAATAATGTAAGTGTTGGTTGATAATACAACTTTCCACTTCATTGGGAGTAATTCATACCCAAGAAGGAAACATAATTAAAAATTGGAAATCTATTTCGAGACTTTTTGTGCCTAAAAGCTAGGATACAAACACAATTTATAATCTTGCTTATACCATCATAAGCTTATTCAATACAGATGAGAAAGAAAATGCATTAAAAAAGGGTTGCAAATTGGTTTGGAGAAATGATTAGATGTGTGTCTTGTGTAAATCCACGGCGTTGAATGTGATATAACCACTCAGAGGCAGCTTTAGAATCAATCTTTGATGAATGACTTCTTTGTATTCTGTATTCTACTCACTATTCTTCATTTGGAGCAGGATATATTATTTACTGAAATTACTGTCGATATAATTCTTGTAAAAATATTTTTTGCTTGCCTCCCCCCTTGATTGATGGCACCCAAGCTGAAAACGAGGCTAGGATAGTGAATAATTCAGGAAAGTTGGAGTACAATGAAGTCCCTGTTTTTGAGTTTGTTAAATAAAGCAAGAAATATTGGTTGGATGGTGTTCATAAGGCCTAAAAAAAAAGATGTTGTATTGCCCTTTGCGACCGACCCAAAATTTTGAAATCGACGGTCTGCTTTTTTTTTTTTTTTTTAACTTTTTTTTTAGAAAAAAATGTTTTACCGGTACCGGTAAAGCATTCAAAACTAAGAAATATCAGCCCAAGAGGGAGTTATAAAAAAAAAAAATTCTGACCGGCCGACCCATGTTTTAGCACCTAAAGGGCAATACAAATTTTTTTTAAAGGCCTAATCAAGGTTTTTCTTGAAATAATGTAAGCGTGCTGAATTGTGACCATTCCAGTAAAATTTTGAATCCTTTTAAAGTACATAGTTCTGATCATTCTGAGAATCTATGATTTAGTAAAATGCTGTAATATTTATAAAATGTTACATAAGAATATGTATGCATCATGTAATAATTGTGCACAATATTGTCAACTTCTTCTGAGGTATTATTCCATTTTCTTGTAATTAATGCCTTTGTATGAAATCATATATTGCTTTGTGTATGGATGTGGATGTCCTCTCTCTCTATAGTTGTGTGAATGAATGGACACGGTTCACCTATTTATTCACTTTCCTGCCACACTATGTGCTGTAGTATTCAGTACTTGTTGATATGTGCATTCCACATCATACTCTTGCCTTGTTGTTTGTGAAGCCAAAAGTGTACCAAATAATTGACAAGTACTTGTACATATACTATTCTGCAGATGAGATGTTTTAAATTTCTTTTTAGATTTTGTTAAAGATTTGTGAATGATTATATTTTTTAAATTTGAGACAGGGTTAAGCCTCGTTTACATATGACACAGTAAACCCCCTCCCCCCAAAAAATTATGGTCAAAGACAACTCCTGTATTCCGAACTGAACCCGATGGAGAGATAATATGACCTCCAAAGTCCGGATCGCAGAAATGAAAAGCAGAGTGGCTGTGATAAGATCCCAGTACCATCATCCTAGTCTTTTCTGGATTTAGTTTTTTCTGGATTTAGTTTTAGTCATGGAACTCAACCATGTTTATATGTGACTGATACACTGTTCCATCTGAAGGAAAGTAGCCTAAGCAACAGTTGGTCGAAATGCAAGATGAGAGTTGTGTGTCATCAGCGAATAAATGGAACTGAGCCTGGTGGTTCAATTGCACTTGCTTTGTTCATTTCATTTTTCTGGGGCAGTTTTGATTTTGTTTGGGGGGGGAGGGGGCACGTTTACTTTGACATGTGTGGATGAAGCCTTACATGTTTATCATCACTGCTGAAACCCACTTTGAGGCTCTTTACCATTTTCCTGGTAAAATCTTACTGTTCAGCTCTTAAGTGTTAGCCTCAAGCTGTTGTGTCCAGTGAATGGCAATGACACTATTGCCACATTTAATGTTGTCAACTAATAGAGCATTTGCATTGTTCTGAAGATGTATCTGCAGGATTTTGAAGGATCCTCAATTGTGGGATGTTACAGAATACAGAAACATGTCGTGAGGAAGATCCCGAATATCTTTTCAAAAGGTTGTTGAGCATGTTGAAACAGTTCATATACGTTTATTAGGATTTTCAAATGTAGCTAATAAAATATTTAATGTATTCTGGAAAAATTAAGATTGAGAATATATTTGCACAAGTATGTCCATGAACTCGCCAACAAATATAATGGATCAAATTGATTTCTAATGGAAAACCTAATGATGAAAGTTTTTAAGTTGAATGATTATGGGCGACATTAGTAAAGTATGAGTAAGTGTTGGCAGAGGTAAAAGTATAGCCTCTGTCGGCTAGTATTTACTGGACGATTTCTGTATATTCTTAGTACAAAATTTGAATGAATTTGTGATCATTTTGATTGTCCTGTGTCACTTCTATAGTTCTATTCTGTACTGCAATGTGTGGCAACAATAAATGCATCATGTCTGAAAAAAGGAGACTCTTTTTTTTGTGTACATGCTGTAATATGATTCTTCCAGGCATACACCAAATCAATATCTTGTCCAATCCTGATTCACTAGCTGTTTGTGATATCCCTGCTCGCTTATGAATTAAAGTTTAGGATATTTCTTTCAAGAACCTTATTACAAATCGTGAGGAATGGGGCAACTTTGGTTAAGAGGTATGCAAGAAATATGTATACAAATATGTTTATAGACGAGTAGAGTGTGAATACATAAAACAGACCTGTTCACAAATGTACTTAAAATGGTCGCATTTATACTCCAAGGGCTTAGCTAGTGATGAACTATTGTACTAGCATGTTGTGAGTACATTGAATTTTAATTGCCAGAATACAGTTACATGTTGCTATATCAGACTGTCACCGGAGTGTTGGCTCAGTCAGTAGAGCAACCGGGAGGTCGTGGGTTCGAACTCCGGCCACGTCATACCAAAAGACGTTAAAAGATGGGAGTTGTTGCTACCTCGTTTGGCGTTCAACAATAAGGGATAGACCAATGTCGATCTGGCGCTACTCAGTGGCTGCCGGGCTCACGATCAATTGGGCAAAAAAGAATTTCTGTTTCGGTTTAATAAAATTTGGAGTGGACTATTAGATTATTATTATTATTATTATTATTCCCCTGGCAAGCTTTGAGGTAGTCACTAGTTACAATTGTGGAAGGAAAAAGAATGAAATCTAAATACATGTACATTTGCGATTTGGTATATTCGGCCGATTTTAACCGACGGTAAAACTGGGTCTTGATTCCAAATTTAGTGTAAAACTGACCAATAAAAACAACTTACTAGATATTTTACTGAAACAGTACACATTTATTTTTTAAAAACATGAAAAATTAGCATTGTCACAAAACATATTTAAATGTAAAAAGCTGTTCACAAGCACTATAGTACACAAACAATTCATTATTTTAAAAAAGTTAACTATTCCTAAGCTACAAAACATCACACTACGCATAGAAAACACTTTTATTAATGAACTTTCATACATGAACTTTTCAAACTATGATGTAACAAGCCACTCACTTATACATGCAAACCTACATGCATTTTTAAATTCTAATGGGCAGAGATCTGTTAAATGCTATTGAGATTAGAGCACTAACCAGATTGAATATATGTACGGAGGTTTAGACTGCAATTCAGGAGTTTTATGCAGGGATGCCAGTTAAAATTGATCGGAGGGCCTGAAAATTACCTAGAATGAGCAATTTTGTACACAAAAAAGCCTAAACTATGGTCAGAAAATAACTTGCCAGGGCCTGAATTCAGGCTATTGCCTGAAAACTGGCATCCCTGTTTTATGGCCATTTTATTTTGGTCTAAAATAACACGCCTGTGTTTTCCTTCATTAAATGGGAAAAAGAGAGAGAATGATGGAATTTTTATTAAATCTTTCTTCATGCAGTGCCAAGACACTTTTAAGAAAATCAAGCGAATGTTTATTGCTTCTTCCTTTTTCTCCTGTTTTGGTTTTCTATATTTTTGAGGACAAAATGATGAGTTGGTTTTAAATCTATAAACAGTAAAATGGAGACGGACATACATCAGCAAACATTGTGAGAAGTATGTTACAACCACACATAGCAAAAGCTTTGAATACATGGCTGCTTGTACAGCCCAGTGACACAAGTTAACAAACCAACAATACATACATGAAGTTGAATTAGGGCAATTTCATGACAAAATAATTATATTTATATTCATTAATAATACTTTTTGGTTTTAACATTGATTACATTACATTAGATGACAAGCAAATATGATTAGAATAGGAAGGAATCATCCCACCTATGATGTACCTAAGATACCATTCATGGACCATCAACTTGTTTCGCTCCAGCAGACATTATGGTGCTTTGATACTGAACATAATCATATTCAATCCACTCATGACAAAAAAAACACAGCAAGGATTGTATCAACAATAGACGGATGTTTGGAAAATGGAACCGCATAATGACACTTTAAATCTGGAAAAACGCATTTACAGTACAACAAAAGATACCAATGCCCTCGACTGCATTTGAAGAGAACTAGAACCCAGTGCCGAAATAAGATGTCTAAAAGTGCAAATGCTTTGTGGTCACACAGCACATTGTTCTATCAGAAACCTCTCTCAGATCAAAGCAAAGCAAATGGAACGTGGTGTTGGGCCCTGACTTTAAAATAAAAAGATACGGGTGTAATGGGTCGAAATTATTTTGAGGGAGGGCGATGGGTGAATATGATACAAGATACCTATTTCGACAGCATGCATTTCATAAGACTAGAAGCACTACACCTTTACACCTGTTTAAAATTTACCAACACTGCAGCATAACCGCTATGTTACATCATATATCGCACGATATCGCACAAAACTTCAACCCGACAGATGATTTCAAATTTGAACCTTGATATTGTGTTGAGGTCGATGTCCTCTGCTTGACATGAACAAAAGATATTTTCTTACATGACACCACGTGTTGCTTTCTTTTTAATAACAAATGCTTGCTCCATGAAACTGTTAAGCACAACACCTTCAATTTCTCACTATTTTTTTATATGTCAATTGGCCCTGTTGTCTCGGTTTCATCAAAATAAATCTGTATGAACTATTGCATTTTCTTTCTTCATGATCGAGCATGAGGTTTGCTCAGAGCACCCCTATTCAAGTGAGGTAGACTTGTTCACATTACATTTTCTTTAAAATTCACAACAGAAACTGAACAAAGACCAAATAATGTGTGAACACTACCACAAAATAGCAAGAGTATATTATGATTGGTGAAACTTGTGAAAGAGCTTCTGATGATTTAAGAATATATTTTTTCTTGTGTACGGGTAAAATGACTCAAATTAAAGCACTTTACTCAATTTCACAAGGTTTTTGTTTCCGACATATATTTGAGACACTGGTTTTAGCGTATCAGTATGCAATCTGCTAACTTTTGCTGTGCAATCCAACTTTAAGGAAAATAAGCAATCTTTGAACAGCTAGGTTATTGGTGTGTATCGTGTATTTTCCTCCTCTATATGTACAGAAACACAAAGATGTAAATGACAACACCAGGTATTCAAGAAGACATTGGTGCAAATTAATGGGAAAGAGCGTTAATTCAATGGACTTTCATACCTTACATATTCTCTACAGCAGCAGGACCATATTATTGAATATATATTTGTGTATTTCTTTCCTTTTTCTGCTGCAAACCTTCCTGAAATATTTGTTCCTTTTTTCCTTTGAGGTTTTAGGAATGACATAAGACATTGACCATCCTGCACTCACATAAACCGTAATAAAGCGCAGTAACACATGTCCCTATTATTACCAGTTTAGTGTCAAGATGTTTTCATCCTTTTTGGAAAAATACAAACCGGTGCACACCCTCACTAGAAACAATCGTAACAAATCATAATGGACATATTACAAGCTGATAAAAGTAACAGTATTTGTTGATGACAAAATGAGACAATATTTTGAAGTGTTTGCAACATACAGAGTAATCATTTTTTTCTGGACAACATTGTTTTTTTAATTGTGGTAAATATATATAAAAAACACACTAACTATCAAACAAAAATATAAATTGTTAACTTAATGTCTGTCACAAACAAACGTGTAATGTACAAAATCACAATTGAAATGGAGAATACATATACAAGATTATGTTACAATTTGTGTTATGAAAATCAATGGTCTTATGAAAGAGAAATTTTTTCCTCCAATTTCTTGAAACTCTGTCAAATGATTACTAGAATACTGATATAAGCCAGCCTTTCATTGTCATTGCAATAGATACAGTGTACATTGTGATTAAATGTTCAAAATTTCATACAGATCCAATATCCTGTCTGACCAATGTACAAGAGCATTTGTTTACCTTCCACTGGAGTCACAGACGTCTGATTAACAAGGTGCAGGCAATGCTAAAATGTACAATTTTATTGAATTCTTTTGAATTTAATGATTATCAAATATCAATTCTTGCAATTATCAGATCTTTCATTAAAATTTGTGGAACTAAGGAGAACCAACTCTGAATGACACATCGGTTCAAAGCAGTACAGCATTATCTATCATTATGTCTGGAACGAGACCGATGTATCCTGCAGTGCATTATGGGTACCTATCCAAATTTTGATTAAGGCAAGTTGTATACAAGTAAAATTATATACACGCATGTACACTGTACAAGCTCAGTGAAGTTTTACATCCAGTGAACACATCGTACAAGGATTTGTTTTTTTAATTTTTTATTAACCAATAAGGGTTATTTCCTATGATTGTTGCAAAGGCAATGACGATTTATTTATTGTAAAAAAGCTCTCATGTTTCGTCTTCATCTATGCATGTTTTGTAGGGTTGCTGTGGTGGCAATGATGATACCATCCTTGGGGAGGAGATGGGATGGGATGGATGGATAAAGACTCTTCAGAGACCACTGTTCTCTCCCTTCATCTGATGGATGGTCCTCCTCCTCTTTACTCGTCATCTTCAGCTACGGCTTCCTAGTGATCGATGCAATCAAAATTCAGGGAAAAATTAATATTCATTTTTCGGGGGCTACCTTTCAAACTTGCCTGCATGAAATTAACACTCTAAAATTTGTTTTGCATTCCAAAGGGGCTCTTTTCTTTTTGGGGGGCATTTCAGGGGCTATTTCGTCCCGAGCCCCTGTGTATTTTTTTCACTATCAAAATTTAGAATAACCACTTGTCACTACGAAATACAGTTAGATCATAATCAATGAATAGAGATCTAAAGTGGATTTTAATTATTGATTTATTGATTGAGAAATTACATCAAAGCTAGTTTTGATAAGACGTTAAAAGATGGGAGTTGTTGCTACCTTGTTTGGCGTTCAACAATAAGGGATAGAGCAACGTCGATCTGGCGCTGCTCAGTGGCTGCCGGGCTCACGATCAATTGGGCAAAAAAAATTTCCGTTTCGGTTTAATAAAATTTGGAGTGGACTATTAGGCTATTATTATTATTATTATTGTTATTATTACATTTTTCAAAAGACTATTCAGAGTGCTTACAAAATTAGCAAGTGTATTTCATTTTCTGTTGAACAGGCAAGGTTACAGATAGGACATCGATAGGTTAGATACAAAAGAAAGCCAATGGATACTGTCAAAACACATGGATCTTGCTACATCTCTTCCTCACAATGAACAATTATGGACATTTTGGACCATTCTTAAATTACTCAATCAAATACCCTTGGCCACTGGGCCCTTTAAATCATATCATAATTTGTTTACACCCCTCTCTAAATCACATTGCAGTATTATTTCATTGGGGATCCTATTAACCATCGTATCTTTCCAAAGTTCACAATGATGCACTGTAATCAACACTTTGTCACACTATTCACTAATTACCAACTTTCCCTTCCAAAACGAACTTTAAAAATATCATCAAATTCTAGCATTTCTTACCTCTTCCTCTTCCTCCTCTTCTTCCACTGGTTCCTCTACCTATATTAGATAAACAAAAAACAACACAAATTATAATTCGGTAACATATAAGTCAACATCTTGAAGAAAGTTTTCAATAATACTTCTACATCTGCAGTAGATGAAACTCTTTGGCATGAATCACATTTGGGAACCCTCTTCCCTCTCCTCTTCTTCTGTCTCTTCTTACCACCCCTTCTGTTTCATGATCAATTATTCTTTTCCATCTATCGCTCTTCAATTTCTTCTCCTCTTGACATGCTTCTTTTGATTTATATTGTGCGGTATAGATGCAGGTTTTGAAGTACGTCAAGGGCAATATTGCCTTTTGCTGTGATACGCTCCTTACTGGCTGTAGTGGACTTCTCAAAAATGACAAAGCTTAGAGCTACTTTTTCCGTGTCGTTAACTTGTTCCTTTCTGACTGGCCAGTAGCCTGCCCATAAGTCTAATAAAATCTTCCATTACTACATGTACCTTTCAATTCATTGACTAAAAAATTTGTGCAAGAAAGATAGAAGCACAGGGTACAAATAGTCAAATAGACAGTGGCTACATTAAACAATTAACAGTGATATCAAATAACTCTATGTCTAGACTGGTCGACGCTATCATCATTAATCTTTAGAATAATTGTATGACAATACATAATTGTGTACATGTAATATTCATAGAAAATCATACGAAAGCTCGATACATAATGTAAACCTTTTTTTTTCAGTGCAATTATCCTGACAGTGTACCAGTGCCTTTTTTTAATGATGACAATATATTGATAACTGTACTGTGTTTTATTGTGCTCGTGTGTGATGTTTTCTGATTAAAACGTCTAGCTCGATTAAGAGTCAAGTCATTGAGAAGTTTATGACCAAATCACTTGATAGACATTTGGATGATAAAGGAATGTTCACTAATATACTGGTAAACAAATTATTTGGTAACCACTGTATGCAGTAGGCCTATTTAAGAAAGGATCATTGAAATACACCTGTATACTGGACTGAAGTTTTGCTTGTTTTATTCATGTATTCAACCCACTACATGTACATGACTACATGTGTACCTTTTAAAAGATTTTTGTTTAAATCTCTCATGCCTCCCCTAAAAATTAAAGGGAAACTTGGAATTTGACAAGGGTCATATATCAGTGAATTTTTCATAAAATAATGCGTACAGGTTGTTGAATGATGCCATGCAGTGACAAAGAGGTTGTCAAAATTGGGTAGATGTACAGATGCATCTTAAAGGTAATACAAAGTTTCGGGAAATTTTGAAAATTGGGTGGATATTGATTCTTTACAATTTTGATATATTTGGATGCCCCTGTGGATGTATTATACATGTAAGCACTACAAAAATTAACCCCTAAAACACTTCTGTTTTCGAGAAATATTGAATATAAAAATTTTCCGGTGCTCCCGGTAAATTTTGATAAATTTCAAATAGCGCCTACGGCCGTACAATGGTAGCTGCGATCATGAAAATCTCAGAATATGTAGTTGTGATATATAATTTCCAAACGGGAATAGCTAATCGCTTGATTTTAGTCAAGAATCATTGTTTCATAGCTAAATTAATATCTTGACCTTGAGAGGGAGCTATACAACATATAGAGTTTATTATTAATAATTTCATGACTTTAGACTCGATTTCAACCGGGAAAATGATCAATGAATATTGTAGGAACGCATACATGTATATGCTTCCAATATGTTAAATTTGAACCAAATTCATGACCACATACCAAAACTTTGTAATACCTTTAAAACATATTTTAATCGTTCCTAATTCACTGGGTAATATCTACTTGGCATACATGGCATAAGACTAGACATACCTGTATTTTCACAAAATTCAAACTGGGTTTCAACATAATAGTCCATGTACTGTATACACATAATTTAGAAATGTTCAGATTTAAGCTGTGATAAACAGATATTGCATGCTATCATCATACGTGTGAATAAAATTGCCAACTATACACTCATATTTCTTTCCTCTGTACACCTTGTAGAGCATTGAGACATTTACTGTGATTTAACCACCCCAGGGAAACAAGCGCATTCCTCTCAATTTGAAGTTTGGTTTCAGCCAGTTATGGGAGGCACAAGTGTGCAAGCTGATTAGCCTCTTCACAGCCTAAAGTCATTTATAATTTCATTACAAGCTGCACTTTTTAAAGCAGCTAGTAATGCAAGATGGGTTTGTTACATTATCCTTCCGATTGGAATGAAAAATAAGCAGATAATATTGACTAATCCAAAATAAACCCCTTAAAGCAAACTAGCAGAGAGAAATAACGATCTTGTGAAAACATAAAATTGGCTGGCAGTAGACTAGAGGATGTAGGATTTTCCTCTTTTCATTAATAGGCATGTGGTATGTGTTCATGGATAAAGCTAGGGCAATGACATTGCCTTGACTTGACACTCTAGGGTTCATACAAAGGACAACCATGGCTGGAGATTTAATATGCTGCTTTTTATCAGGCTTCCATTCCAGCCAACACTGCTAGCTCTGCCATACAGTAAGTGAGTGACTGTGTGCAGGCTGGGTTATATATACTCATTGTAGGACCCTCTCCCATACATAATACTACACAGTTCATGGGGTTTTATTCACATTCAAATACAGCAGGTGCAGAGCTAGAGAATGTGGCATTCCCCAATTTTTTTCAATATACTAGGAGACATTAGACTATTATTCAAAGATTTTATGAAATACTGAGCCATAAAATCTATAGAGGCATGCATGCATAGAAACTAAAAAACTGTTGCTTTTGACTTTTCGTATATTTGAAAAACGATATATAACTTTTTTTTCAGTCCAAAAGAGCTAGTACTTGGTAAGTAAAAATGTATCTCTTTTATCTTATGCCTAGAAGAAGAGCACAAACAAATTTAGGCCTACAAGTACATTTCCGGAACAGCAAATTGCCATGTTTTTACTACAGATTTCATTTACAGTGATATACTAAATATAGCAATGTAAACTGAACATTTCAGAAATTGACAAGAATTATTGTTGGCCCCCTTTATGCCAAGCAAAGGGTGATTTATCAAAAGGGAACCAAACGCCTAAACAAAAATAACTGATTGGGAAGTGCAGATGTACTGTACTACTTCATTGGGGATTCCCCCTACACTTTAACAAATAGTGCAATACGTTCTTCACATGTATACATGTAGATGGTGCCTCTCCTACACACGGGACCTCCATTTAACATCCTATCTGAGGTGCAGAATGTTGTCCATGGAAACATAGCCTGTGTCTATGTGGAACAGGGTAGGGGCACGTTAACACTCAACATAAGGGCTAGATTTGAACCCACAATCTTTGATTTGTCAGGCAGGCGGTTCAAGGACTAAGCTAGATGTACTCTACATCTCTACTTTTCTTCTCTGAATGAGATCAAACTCAGTTTATCTGATAGAAAGATACCGTAACTCTTGCGTGTCTAACAGTGACTACCGATGTCCTGACTATCCTTTTATTTAATCCTTTTTCTAAACACATCTATACAATGACAATAATAAGTTGAATAATAACCTCTATCCCCACCCCCAATCCCATCAACAATACAGACGATATTATGATATATCTTGCACCTGCTTTGCATCTGCCCATTATAAAGCATGAACACATTCAATCTCTTTGGTTTCTCTCTAAGCCTCATTGCTTAATTCAAATTATTCTTTCATCGGAAATAAAAACTTCCCATTTGTAAAGGATTCTTTTTTCTAGAATATGTACTCATATCCAAATACATTGATCTATGGAATGTGTTCAGAAGCACAAAATGGATAATACAGATAATAAAGATAATACAGTTATGATCAAGGTCACCATCTTTGCAATGATACTGCCTAAATATTCATGTTGTTTTTTTAAGGGGGAAATTAGGCCAACTGAGAGAAAATAGTGGATTGTAAAACACAGTGGAAAAATTGAAAAAGAATATAAAATACAATAAAAAGAGAAAAGAAAAGAAAGAGAGAGATAGACAGACAGAGACAGAGAGAGAGAGGGAGAGAAAGGGGGGAAATAACACTTAATAGTGCCAGATTTGGAGAGAGGAGATAAATTGAAGGAGCAAACAAAGAGTTCATGGATTTTGTTTATATGTATGTATTGTACATATATATATATATACACACCATCTGCTGACAGCTAAATAAAAGGGCTTTAAGTCACATATGTTTACATAGAGTTAATACCCTTCTGGTTATGATCACATAACATCTACAAAAGTAGAAATACACATAAATTTGGATGAGTTTGATTTACTTACTGGTCGTTTCCTTGGTCTTCCTCGTCCTCGCTTGGCACCACTGGTATCTGCCTATAATCATCAAATAACAAAATAAAAAATTGAACCTCTCACAACCTTTAATAACCAACATAAAGGCACTATCCAGATAGATGTGTAAGTGATAATGAGTGAAGATACTTGCTGTGATGAATTATCTCACATAAAGATAAGAAAGATTTCAAACCATTAAAAGCTGTTATGTGTTTGAACAAATTCACCTTTATCCTTTATTATCTATGGTATAAGCATAAAGCAGGTACATGTACATGTATGTAATGTCTATTATGATCACTTAAAAGCCTTATCTCTTCAAAAAGAACATTTTAGTGTCTAAATATATACTCCGCATCCAGATGTTACAAGTACATGTACCTACAAGGTGATTGAAAATCAGAGAACCTGTTGGCTAACTTTCTTTTCCTTTTTTCATATTGCAAACAATTGATGAATAACTTTCAATAAGTAATATTCAACAAATAGAGTTGTAATTCACAATATACAACATCTTCACAATTCACATCTATGTCTTCTCATATCAATCTCTTATTATTTCCTCCATCAACGTTTCCTGCCTTGGTCTCTTCTTCCATATGAACCTACCGCAAAAGAATTATTGCTTTACATTATTCAGTATCTTCTGAATAAGACAAAAACAACGCCTTTTTATAGTGTAAATCCCTGGATGTACTTTTACCCAATATCTGAGATATGAATAAACTACATGTACTAGATACTACATTCAACATTCTGCACTATGATATAATTTGGTGGTACATGTAGGTTCTTGTAAAAGGTCTATTTTTTACCATAAAATCCATGATACATGTATATACTTTGATATCCAATTTGAATCATGTTGACAAATCAACAATTACAAGCTGAAGCCTTAATAAATATGAGATGATAGGATACGGGATGGACACAAGGACAGATGGACAGACTGACGAACAGACTAAGGAAATGTTCCTTGGACAGTCAAGACGGACTTGACAGTCGACCCCTAAACTTGCTTCCAATACCACCCTCGAAGGGAGAGGGATAAAAATTAGTCAGGTCAGGTCAATCATCTCATATAAACAATGAAAAAGAGAGCGGTCAATCTGTCCTTGCTAATGGGTCATTCAATGCCTTACAAGTGCTGGTATTAAATCCCAGAACTGGGCAAGGACTGGGTCTTGGGGCACACATATTTCACATATTTCGCAATGGAACTGAGCCTGTGCATAGTCCGAACTGAACTGTATAGATTCATAAAGGCTGATTTGTATTTTACAAACCTTTGATGGTCATTTTACACAACATGTGAGCATGTCTAGGAAAATCAAATGGAAACAGAAAATAGGAGAGGCCAAAGAGAAGGGGGAAAATCTGGACCTGCTATAAAGCAGGTCTACAGGCCTATCAAACAACAACATTGAGAGAGTTTTTATGAGACTTGCAGTCACAGATCAGAATAATTTTTGGCAGTCCAAATTTACTGTCCTACGATGACTCTTTTTTTATTTCCAAAACATAAACAATAGTTTATCACATGCCCCTACACAATCAAACAAGATGTGAACCCAATCCATTCATTATTGCAATGTCATACAGTGACCTTTGACCTTTGATCAATGACCTTTTCCAATTCCACACCCTACCCTGGAAATACTTCACTGGTAACTCACAGCAATCTATCCTGATCTAAATAGAAAATGAAACTCAAACATCCCCTAATAATATATCATGATTTCAATTTTTGGTCCCTGAAATATTTCTCAATGAATTGTGCATGCTGACATGTATACAGTACCATACTCACAAGGTGGTTTGGGGGCTTCCCAAAAATAGGACCTACCGTACACAACAAAAAAGTCGCACTACTTACAGCTTTTGAATAAGATTTGACATGTAGACGCATTAATGTGAATTCTGAACACTAAAAACAAAGTGAATACCCACATATTTGTGCAGAGCAGTAAATGCCCATCAAATATGCTGTGCTGTGCTAAATATTGTAAGAGACATTGATTTGCTGATATCCATACTCAGGTAGATATTCACAATTACAATCTATAACAAACCATTTACATGTAGCTGGGTGGATTTGTATCGACTTTAACTTTGCTTTCTTATAGAATTTGTCAAACTAAAGAAATTAGACAAATGCTGGGAATACCCTGGATTCTGGAATTCACACACCTCTCCAAGAACTTTATGCCTTATACCTTTTACAATTCATTATTTTCCCTCCTTTACATTTGTTAGTTTTCTTTCTTTCTTTTCAGACTGTTGTACATTTCTTTCACTTCTTCTTCAGCCCCTTTGAATCCCTTCTTTTCTGTTCTGGCATGCAAATTGCCTGTAGATACATTGACAAAGGTAACTTATTCAGAAAAGGAGTTCTTTTCAATATCTATTGACTGGGGTCATTTAACTCACCATGCAGTTTCTATGTTTCGTTTTCATTCTGCTTCTTTTCTTACAAGCAGAAGAAATGCATTTTATTTCTAATCTAGACAGTCCTCTCCTACTGTAGTTTGAAGTAGATGGTGGGAAAATAAACATCGCTAAGATCTTCTTTGGTTGACATACCAAGCAGATGAATCATGCATTATCATTAAAAAGGACCACCTTGAAACTGGTTTTCTTTTGCTGCTCAGATATCCATGGAATTGCATTTCACAGTTATTTTAGGTGATAGATGAATACTATGGCAAGATAAAAATCAAGATCAAAATCAAGATCAAAAGAAATGAAAGTAAATCTAATAAGTTTAAACTAAAGAATAAACTCATGTTGGTTGATGACATAAGCAGCGGGTGTGCAATATGCAAGGTTATCCAAACACAACTCAAATTCATTCATTTTCAAACAGTTATTTTTCTTTCTTCGATATCAGATTTTATTGTAAATTTTTCATGTTTAAAACAAATATTAAGTTGTAGTACAATAAATAGGCCTACAGTATGATCTAAAAGCAGGAACATTTAATTGCTACACTTAACTAACTTTTTTCATTGGTTAAAAATGTTCTCCAAAAATGTCTACAAAAGATTCTTTTCCTAGCATCACTCTTGAACTTGAAGCTTATCTGCCATAGTTTACAGGAGGGATTAGACCGCCCTGCAAGGTCACTGGACAGGTGGTTATCTCATTAACTCAGCTCTCAGTTAACATAAGAAAAAGAGGATCATGGGGGACCAATGGTCACCGATTAGGCATTGTTTGTTATATAGAGGGAGCAAGTAGCTACAAGTAGTGCAGTGGGCCTTTAAAAACTTCATTCCCACTTTTAAAACGTCAGTCATAAACAAAACAAACAGACAAACAAACAAAAAACAAAGAATTTACCACAAACAAACAACATTAAATACATTGTACAAGAAATAATACGAACCTGAGGTTGGGTTTTCTTGGGTGACTTGGTTCCACTTCCCTTGGGTCTGCCTCGTGGCCTCTTCTCTTTGGGTTCATCCGATTCCTATATGGAAAAGGTTAAAGGTCACTGTTTATTAGAAGTTTTAAAATAAGACTTTTGGAGGATTTAAATACTGCAGGAAAATGGATCAGTCAATACTATTGAGACTTGACTAGTAAGCCTGTAACTTTGTCTCAGATTCTGAAACAAAATCCTGGTTTTAGCTCATGCTGCAATGATAATTATAATCCTTTAGGTCAGCCAGGAACCCATGACTTTTACAAGCCGATCGCCTGTCTGATTATCAAGATATTTATGATTTGAAATCAAAATCAAAATCAAATTTTGCGAGTCCCTAACGGTTTTCATTACACTACAATCTATTGGGGAAAACGAGTATGGTAAAACCGGACACTTAAATATTTTCACTTTCTTAGGCACTTCATGATCATTTTGAAGCGCAATTTGTTTAGGGCTTCAATATTACACCATATCAAAGACACTGATTAAACATAGAGCCATGCATCTAAGATTTTGAGTGCCTGCACAAAGAAGACTGTTTTGAATTTCAATTGATAATTTAATTGATAATTTAATTGACAACACATTTTCCTTGTATTATCATTATTATTTAGTTTAATAGAGCTTGCTCCACATGTACGTACATTGTACAAACTATTCAAACAGTAATGGATCACTTCAAAAAAGGAATTACAATGGGAACATACATTTAACAACTAAATAATTCATACCCTTACTCCATGTTGTAAATCTTGTATCTTTTTAAGTTTGTGGAAAAATGGATTTGCCCCGATTTTTGTTTCTTGAGATTGTGACATACATGTATTGAAGCTTACTGTACATCTAAACTAAAAGTATTCAACAGACGCCCTAATCTAACCAGTCCACCTTTCATTCCTGAGTTACGAAAAATCATCAAATTCACAAGGGGTATGAATAATCTAGTTGTTAACTGGATACTTCAGTGAGTACAGCTACTGTAGTGTCCGGAAGTGAGGAGTTTTACATGTATTCCAACTTTGTTTCTCTCATTATTGGTCAAGAGATTTCCTCTGCTCCTTTTTCTATTACATTCAGCATTTTTTCTTACAAAATTTATTATCATATATAATTAAAAATTTCCTCTTCATTTTTAGATGCTTCCAGAAATATACCAAGAATTTAATACAGATTGTAGACATGGCGATACGTGAAACCAACATGGCCATGTTAGAACAAGATACCACAAACACCACAAACACCACAAACACCACAAAAGTTCCTGTTCTATTAATGTTGCAGACACGTTTCTCATGAAGTACATGTAAATCAGACGAGCATGTTGTAGAAAGTTTCTCATACAGTCTATCAGAGATGCATGTAAGCTGTTAAAAAGCAAACAGATTCTAATGTTTCTGGTTGTGCAAGTCATTTCCGATTCTGGGAGATACCATCTTGTAATCATGTAAAATGCACATTCCTCCTTGAACTACATACAGTGTAGAAAATAATAAAGAATCCACAAAGGTACAGATAATAAACTCATTTAAATGAGGGCATGAGATAAATTAATTATGAGATTAATCTCATCCTGAACTTTGCACCACATTTTGCTGATGGTGAATGGGAGTAGAGTACATGTACATGGTACTCCTTGATCTCAGTCAATCACCTGTTTAAACAATGATCAATGAAGGTTACACTCCATACAGGATCAAATCTAGGTTCTTTGTCCCCTACTGACGGAGGAAGGCAGTCGGTTATAAAAGTGAAGTACCAAAGCTTCCTCTCAACAACTTGCACTCTGTGTACTCCACAATAAAACTGAATTACACAATGAACTTGAGAGAAGGAAGGAGGTATTATAATTGTTTGAGATTTAGCTCACTTTTCTAACGTTTTACATTTCAACTATCGGTAATGATTTTCTTCCTGTACATATATAACTGGTCTATGTTCATGGAACTAAATACATGTAGCTTATTCGTCATATCTGGGAAAGTAATCAAATCAAGGGAGTCCTTTAAACAAATTACTACAGTTGATTAAAAAAACAATAGCGAATGACACTAAAGCATGGTGTAATACTGCCCCCCCCCCCCCCCCCCCCCGCCCCACAAACACACACTAAATACATGGATTGTTAATATTTTTTGGGGGGGGGGGGGAATAACATATAAGTTAGGCCAAACACTTTTTCAGTGGAGTGCAGTGGAGTTTGGGTTATTCTCAAGGACATAATTAGATTTCCTATGAAACTTTCTTAATATTTATGTAATGATAAAGTCATGAAATTAAAATTTCAGCTACAATATTAATGATAATACTCAAATCTATGATTACATACCTTCTAAGCCACTCAAATTGCTCACTTTTTAATAAAACTGTTACTTGGTACTTGGTTTGTTGGTCCTCCAAAATACTCTTCTGAGTTTTAACTGGAGGTGCGGATAGGTTGGATTAATTTGTAGAAGGAGGGGAAGTCAGGGCAATTTTAAATAACATGTAGCATATTCTTAATCTCTATACCATGGCAATGGACAGTAAGAAATTAAAAATATTACAACCAAAACACAGATAATGAATAGTCTACCCTACTCCTTCTCCCTGTCAACCAGTGATGAAAATTCAAATGAGTTGTGAGCCGTCACAGCTCAGGGAAAGAACAAACAAACAAAACAGAGAAATTATACATGTACCTTTTGCTGAAAACATTGACAATAGCAAACCCCAAAGTAATTGTATAATTTTACACTGCCAATTTTAGGGGCGCAACTACCCCCCTTTTTAGTCCCAAAGACCCAAGAAGGTCATACCTATAATACACAAGTACAAAATGTGCCCCCCCCCCCTCCCCACCCCAAATTCCTGAAAACCTTGTTTTTTTCCAGTGAATTTTAGGAATATTGTGCCCCCTCTTTGGCAAATCCTAGAGCTGCCCTGGTGCTACAAAATGTGCCCCCCTCCCTTTGAGGTGATAAGTGACCTTTTTTCATGAGAGAAACGAGTCCAAAAAAAATCAAAAGGCACCTAAAACTCCTGAAAATCTTTGTTTTCCCCAGTGAATTTTAGGAATACTGTGCCCCCTCTTTGGCAACTCCTGGATCTGCCCTGGCCTGGTGCTACTGAGTACCCACCCATCCCCCACCCCCTCCACCGGCCACCACCACCACTAGTGATAATATCACATTTCTGTTTTTACTACTCCCCCCCCCCCCCTGCCATAACAATTCTTTCAAAACTTCCCTCCTTTCAAAACTCTTTCCTCCAAAATGAATTGAAGGACATTTGATTCCCTGATCATAGTAAAATATTATTTAATGCTCCAATAGATATCTTCACAAATGTATTGAAATTTGTAAAATGCCCTGATAACTAATTACCAAATGTCTGGCAAACATAGCAACATGTAACAATAATATTTAATTGCATGCAACTAGACATTCTAAATTACGACGACAGATACATGTATGTGAACTGGTCTAGTCAACTCTAGACTTAGACTTAGACTTAGACTAAGTAATGCAAAAGCTTTTTTTGATTATTTTATCAACATAATCTGTCAGAATTGTAACTACATGTAAGTCAGAGTCAGGCATAAAATACATGATGTATGAAACTATATGAATAATGTGACAAAGAAGTTATCATGAATGATTCCTAAAAAAATTGTGATAACATGGATGAGTGAGTATAACCAAATTGAACCTAGATTGAACCTACGTCCTACAGCAAATGGTAGAAAACACATGGCCATAGGTACATAGCTATTTTCTTGGGATGACTTACCTCGACGGCCTGCTTGGGTTTGCGGGGTCTTCCCCGCCCTCGCTTCACGGGCTCTCCACCTGCATCTCCACCGGCAGCCGCGGATGTGTCAGCCATTTTGCCTTGATCTCTGATATCTGTACTCTCTTACACCGTTAAAAACTCCTGAACCTCTCCAATGCTGCTTCACCTCTCGCAAAATGGCAGCATGTATATGTTTCCTAGTCTTGATATAGCTCTGGCTTTCACTCCTTTCTCAGGAGCGTTGTAACAGCGAATGTTGTACAAGACGTGCTCAGCTGATTGTCTGCAGTGCGGTATGAATGTTCAATCTTCGGCGTTCCTTTGTTTGTGAGGCGGAGCGGCGTGGACGCGGTGCATGGAGGAGGCCCTGGGATCAACAAAACGAAAGTCAACTTTAGCTAACCACGTGCTCCATTTAAAGGGACAAAGTGTACTTAATAGAAGAACGTGTAGGCGTAGGATTACTGATAATGAAAACGAAAAGGGCGTATTTGACATTCCAATGTGCAAGAAAATGCAATCACGTTTTCATTCGAATCAACATTTCAGCAATTGAAACGGTATTTTACTTTGAGCTAATAGTCAAAGAACAAAAGAGCCTGGGAGACATGGGTACGCGGAAGGGGACGTAGGCCTATTAATTCGGGTGGTGATTTCACCCCCACGCAGGTTCGATCTTCAACAAAAATTCTTTCTTAGAATGGGTCAAGGCCGGGGTCTATAACAAGGGTTGTGAAGAACAGTCTCTGTACAAGGAAGACCAACATTATCATGATTGTGGAGATCATCATAGAATGCAGACCTATATCTAATAAATATCTTCCTATACCTGGTTCGGATCGGATCGATGCTTAGTTAGGGATTATAATTTGACAAAAGAGGGGACTTTTCACTTGGGGTTTCACTGGACGTCCATCGGGACCGATAAAGCCAAGCTGCATGGGCCCTAGTCTTACAAAGAGTTGATAACAATCGCAACTATGTGCATATGAGACAGCTAATGCCTGGATTACATTTGGCCTGCGATTAATCTACGGAGCCCGTATCCTGCCCGTGTCCCCTTTTCCGTGCGGCCTCTGTGCAGAGGCAGGAGGCGACCGTGAGATTTCGTACGGTTTCACGGGCTCCGCAGCCCTTACGATTTTGTTTCGCGAGAAGTTAAACAAGTTGCAAAAAATCGTAAGCCCGAAGCCCGTATACATGTCGTAGGTGGCATTGCACTATCCCCGCACGGGCATCACCCGGAGGCCTCGCACTGATTGTGCAGCAAACGTACAGCAATTGTGAACATGATCGTACCCCGTAGCCTCCTACGATGTCTACGAAAAATCGTAGACTAATTTATCGTACGGCGCCCGGAGCAAATGTAATCCAGGCATAACTTGCGGTTGATTAGAGGACTTGCGAGTTCGGATCAATCGCAACTCTTTGTAAGACGGGGCCCAGACTGATAGTCAGTGCATGGCGTAATGAGCAAACAACTTTGGGGGAGTCAAAGAACTACAAAATCCGCATCACCACCATGTAGCATAATGTAGGGAGAGCGGAACGTCTTCCAAAATAGGGCGGGGGCACATCAAAAAGGCACTTTGTGGAAGAAAAAAAGGGCACCTACAGAGGGAAACATCATTTAAGAAAAAAAAATCATCGTCATGATCAGGCGCGGATCCAGGAATTTTTAGGGGGGGGGGGCCAAATTTGAAATTATGCGAGCCAAATATTGGTACGTAATGGTGACCAGCAGTGACGTAATTGGGGGGGGGGGGGGGTGAGTGTAGGGAGGGGCGAGTTTCCCCCTCCCTCCTCCGCGAAGCGCGGAAGCTTTGGCATTTCAAAAAAATATTAGAGAAAGAAGACGATTCGTTGTACCGTTCCCAAAAATAATACTCGTCTGAATTATGTTTCCCTCCTCCCGTGCGAAGCGCGAAAGCTTTTACTTTTCATTAAATCATTAGAGAAAGAAGACGATTCGTTGTGTTGTTATCGACTCTTAATCTTCGTCTCAATTCATTCCCCCCCCCCCCCCTCCCGCGCGATGCGCGGAAACTTTTACGTTTCATTAAATCATTATATAGAGAAAGAATACGATTCGTTGTATGGTTCTCGACTCTTAATCCTTATCTAAATTCAGTTCCCCCCCCCCCCCCCCAACCGCGCAAAGCGCGGAAGCTTCGACGTTTCATTTAATTATTAGAGAAAGAAGACGATTCGTTGTACCGCTCTCCGGAATCCTCGTCTGACTTTAGTTTTACGTTTCATTAAATCATTAGAGAAAGAAGTCAATTCGTTGTGTCGTTACCGACTACTAATCTTCGTCTATAAATTAAGTTCCCCCCCCCCCCTTCCAGTGCGAAGAGCGGAACCATTTACGTTTCATTAAATCATTATAGAAGACGATTCGTTGTACCGTTCTCGACTCTTAATCCTTGTTTAAATTCAGTTCCCTATGGTGGCCCTGAAGGGACATCGCGAATAGACTAAATCGTGAAAAATATGCGATAAAATTCACGATATCGTCAATTTTATCGCATATTTTTCACGAAGAAATTCACGAAATTGACGATATCGTGAACTTTATCGTGAACTTTTCACGATGAAATTGACGATATCGTGAATTTTATCGTGAAAAGTTCACGATATAAAGTTCACGATATCGTCAATTTTATCGTGTACTCTATCGTGTACTCTATCGTGTACTCTCCTGACGGGCGCTTCGTAAACAAAACCAGCCCTAGCTGGGGGAGACAGAGAGAAGGAAAAAAGGGAAAGGGAAAGAGAAGATAAAAGGAAAGAAAGAATAATAAGAAGAAAAGAGGGAAACGGGGGGGGGGGGCGAAGGGCTCTTGCCTCCTCCTCACTCCCCATCCCCCCGCCAAAAATAAATAAGGAGAGAGAGAAGGGAAAGGGAAAGGGAAAGAAAATATAAAAGGAAAGAAAGAAGAGGAAGAAGGAAAGAGGGAAACGGGGGAAGGGCGAAAGGCTCTTACCTCCCCCCCCCCCCCCCCCCCCCCCGCCAAAAAAATAAATAAGAGAGAGAGAGAGAGAGAGAGAGAGAAGGGAAAGGGAAAGAAAGAAGAGGAATAAGAGGGAAACAGGGGAAGGGCGAAAAGGGCTCTTGCCTCCTCCCACCCCCCCCCCCCGCCAAAAATAAATAAGAGAGAGAAGGTAAAGGGAAAGGGAAAGGGAAAGAGAAGATAAAAGGAAAGAAAGAAGAGGAAGAAGAAGAAGGAAGGAGGGAAACGGGGGCGAAGGGCTCTTGCATCCCCCCGCCCAAAAAATAAATAAGAGAGAGAGAGAGAGAGAAGGGAAAGGGAAAGAGAATAAAAAGGAAAGGAAGAAGAATAAGAAGAAAAGAGGGGCTCTTGCCTCCTCCCCCTCCCGCGCCAACAAATAAATAGGAGAGAGAGAGAGAGAGAGATAGAGAGAGAAGGGAAAGGGAAAGGGAAAGAAAATATAAAAGGAAAGAAAGAAGGAGAAGACGGAAAGAGGGAAACGGGGGAAGGGCGAAAGGCTCTTACCTCCCCCTCCCCCCTCCCGCCATAAAGGGAAAGAAAAGGGAGAGGGAAAGAAAATATAAAAGGAAAGAAAGAAGAGGAAAAAGAATAAGAAAAGAGGGAAACAGGGGCGAAGGGCTCTTGTCTCCTTTCTTTTCTTTCTTTTCCTTTCTTTCCTATTCTCCCTCTTTTTCGTTTTTCTCTTTCTTTCTTCTCTTTCCCTTTCCTTCTCTCTCTCTCTCTTATTTATTTTTTGGCGGGGGGCGGGGGGACGAGGCAAAAGCCCTTTGCCCCCGTTTCCCTCTTTTCTTCTTCTTCCTCTTCTTTCTTTCCTTTTATCTTCTCTTTCCCTTTCCCTTTCCCTTCTCTCTCTCTCTCTGATTTATTTTTTGGCGGGGGGGGGGGGAAGAGTCCTTCGCCCTTCCCCCGTTTTCCTCTTTTCTTCTTCTTCCTCTTCTTTCTTTCCTTTTATCTTCTCTTTCCCTTTCCCTTTCCCTTCTCTCTCTCTCTCTGATTTATTTTTTGGCGGGGAGGGGGGGGGAGTGAGGAGGAGGCAAGAGCCCTTCGCCCCCCCCCCCCGTTTCCCTTTTTTCTTTTTATTATTCTTTCTTTCCTTTTATCTTCTCTTTCCCTTTCCCTTTTTTCCTTCTCTCTGTCTCCCCCAGCTAGGGCTGGTTTTGTTTACGAAGCGCCCGTCAGGAGAGTACACGATAGAGTACACGATAAAATTGACGATATCGTGAACTTTATATCGTGAACTTTTCACGATAAAATTCACGATATCGTCAATTTCATCGTGAAAAGTTCACGATAAAGTTCACGACATCGTCAATTTCGTGAATTTCTTCGTGAAAAATATGCGATAAAATTGACGATATCGTGAATTTTATCGCATATTTTTCACGATTTAGTCTATTCGCGATGTCCCTTCAGGGCCACCATAGTTCCCCCCTCCCCTCCCGCGCAAAGCGCGGAAGCTTTTACGTTTTATTAAATCATTAGCGAAAGAAGACGATTAGTTGTACCGTTCTCGAAAAATATTCTTGTCTGAATTCAGTTCCCCCTCCCCTCCCCCGCGCGAAGCGCGGAAGCTATGATGTTTCATTAATTCATTAGAGAAAGAAGACGATTCTTATTACCATTCTCGACTCTTAATCCTTGCTTTAATTTAGTTCCACCCCCCTTCTGAGCGAAGCGCGGAAGCTTTGACGTTTTATTAAATTATTAGAGAAAGAAGACGATTCGTTGTACCGTTCTCGACTCTTAATCCTTGTCTGAATTTCAAAAAATGTTCTTTGTCTACCCCCTTTTCTTCCTTCGTCCACTTCCTTTTCACTCCTCTTTTTTTTGGCCGGCGTTTTTGGGGGACCACCCCACCGCCCCCTGGCTAGGCGCCTCCGGTCAGATGTTGAAACCTTGTCCGCCCCCGGAAGCTCAGGGGTTTAAGGCAATAATTTACGGTCAGATTAGCATTGAGGGGTCCGCCTTAGGGCCCTAGGCGGGGTCCAGGGGGCAGAGCCCCGGAAGTTCAGGGGTTTTAGGCATTTAATTACGGTCAGATGAGCATTATTTTGATACCTAATTGTGGCACTGGCAGGTCACTAATTGGCGTGGTGTTCGGGGGGCGGAGCCTTCGGAAGCTCAAGGGTTTTAGGCACTCAATATGGTCAGATGAGTATCAAGGGGCCCGCCTTAGGGCTCTTGGTTGGGTCTAGGGGGCAGAGCCCCCGGAAGCTCAGGGGTTTTAGGCGTTTAATTACGGCCAGATGAACATTTTTTATACCTTATTATTTTGTGACACTGGCAGGACACTATTTGGCGTGGGGTCCAGGGGGCAGAGTTCCAGAAATCGGGTGATGTAGGCAATAAATTACCGTCAGATGAGCATCTAAGGGCCCGCCTTAGGGCCTAGGTGGAAGCCAGGGGCAGAGCCCTCGGGGTTTTAGGCATTTAATCATGGTCAGATGAGCATATTTTGATACCTCATTATAATGTGACACTGGCAGTTAACTATTTTTTCTTTCTTGCT